TTCGTTTGGGATGGCTTTCTTACTGCTTCTTAAAACATCTTTCTGGTACAAAATTTTTAATTTTTATACTAAAAATTTACTTTAAGAAGCAACAAGAAAGTCGTCGCAAACGAAGACTTCGTTTGGGATTGTTTTCTTATTGCTTCTTAAAGTAGCTTTCTAGTTCAAAAAAAATAATTTTTGTGCTGGAAAGCTGTTTTAAGAAGCAGTAAGAAAGCCGTCCCAAACAAACCCGAAGCCTAAGAGACTTCATATAGAACAATTTTTTGATTGCTTTCGTGTTAAGAAAAACAGTTGGCAAAAAAATAATTTGTGTTTGGAAGAAGGCTTTTTCACTATTTTTTTCAAATGTTTGCCTTTAAAAAACTGTTTTTTAAAAAACAATTTTAGAACATACCTTATATTAGATAAATATGATATTTTAAAATTAAATTAATTACATATAAAAAATGGGATACTATTTTAAATCTTTTGTCTATAATTAATAATTGTAGAACGAAGACGTCGAAGAGCTTCGTGGCTTTAGCAAACGCACAAAAAACGTACAAGTTGCAATTGACGGATGCCATTACTTGCAAGGCAAGATACACTCAATATGTACTCTTGTAGTCTTGTGGGAAGGAAAAATTATTAGGTGCGGAGTGCGCACCGTCCTCATAAATATGGGTACGTAGCGGTACCCAGCGGTACTGAGTGTCGGTACATAGCGTGGAATAAGGCTGTGTAGACGGTTCTCCCCGTCCGCACTCCGCACCTAATAATCTCTCCTTCAATAATGGCCATGCCGACAATTTAAAAAAAAAAGGTCGACAATATATATTTTTTGTATTTTTTTATCAGCAACATGTTATTACTATTATTATTATTACAAGATTTGTCATCTCCACCAACGACATGCAGTAATGGTACAGCCCTGTTTAAGTTTTTCTTGAAAAAAAAAAATAAAAAAAATAATTTTTTATATAAAATTTTCTAATTTTTTAAAAAAATATTTGTGATGATTTTCTTATTATTTTTAAAGTAATTTTTTATACAAATAATAAAGCAATTTTTAAGTAAAAAAATAAATTTTGTACTTTAAAATTGCTTTAAGAAGCATTAAGAAAATCATTCTAAATAAAGACGAAAACTTTTAACTAAAAAATTATTTTTAAAAACATTAAGAAAGCTGTAGACTTTCATTTGAGATGCCTTTAGTGAGAAAGGTGTTGCTTTTTATGCTATTTAAAGTTAGGATTGTTAGATGAGTAAATAATCAGTTTTATATTTTAAATATTTAAATATGATAGTTTTAAGTGCTATAGTGCTATGCATTAATATATATATATTTTATATATAAACATAATCAAGCTATTATTGAGCTGAATTTGATTGAACAATGTCGGATTTGTATTGGCTCATTAATTATATTTGATTTAAAAATTAGTATATTGATAAATCATCAAAAAATTATCTTGATCGGATACAAATCTTTAGGCAAAATCAAGTTGAAAATTTTCGAAATTAAAATTGGGATTATCCGATCTCCGATTTTAGCAAACTTTTAGTTGGACTGAACGTCTCAGAAATACGAACCCAACAACACCCAATTCGACTCAATCTGAGCCTAAATGGGTCCGAATCGAGGACCTGAAGCGTTGTTGGAAGGTTCAAACCACAATTTGGATTACAAATGGTTTCCAAACGTGACATGCTTAAAGTCGAATCGAGCGACTCGACGAGATGAATCCAACGAGTCCAAGATCATGGAATTCCAACATCATTAAGACCTTCAAATGTCTAACGAACGATTCACGATCAAGGAATTCAACATCGACGGTCTATCCCAAGCACCCCATATTTGCCCATGATCCTCCTCCTATTTACAGTCCATGTCACTATAGGAAATCTATAAATAGACCCCTTCTCCCTCTTTAAAAGGAACCCTAAACCTAAGGAGAAAAGAGAGAGATCAGATATCGCTCTTGCCTCCTTACCTCCTCGACCGCCACATGGAGTTCCGCTGGACCACCACTTGAGGCCCTGAGCTCCGCCGGACAACCACCTGAGGCCTTGAGTTCTGCCGGACCATCGTTTGAGGCCCTGAGCTCCGCGGGACCACCACCTGAGGCCCGGAGTTCTGCCGGACCACCACTTAAGGCCCGGAGTTCCACCGGCCATCACATGACACCCAAAGTTCTATTGGACCACTACTTAACCCCTGAAGTTATGCTAGATGATCACTTGACGCCCGAAGTTCTACTGGGACCAGCATCTAACGCTGGACTTCTGCCAGACCACCGCCTGACGTTGAAGTTTTGTCAAACCAACACCCTGCTACCAACTAACGTCCAAATTCTCAAGTAGCACCGAACTTCTGCCAGTCCATCAAGTGACGTTGAACTTTCTTCCTTGTTTGTCACTATATTTCAACCAAACAGTTAACATTTATAATCTGATCGCCTTCAGGGATGAGTCAGCCCATTGTAACAAACTCCAATTCTAGTGAAATCATTTCAGACTGGGTCAGATCCCGTGGTTTTTCCCCTTTCCAGGGTTTTTCCACGTAAAAACATCTTGTGTCTCTGTGTGAGAGCTGGATAACCGTATAATGCTAAGATGCAGTATTTTAACTTTATCGCCGCGTATATTCTAGCTCGTAACATATATAAACAAAGAGTTTTTTGGACAACCTTAAAATGGAATGAAATCTATAAAATAGCTTAATTTATTACATAAAAAAGATTTAAAATTTTATGCATGCACCGTCAAAATCTTTCTTATTTATAAAAACAATCTCTAAAAATTCAAATATACCATCAAAATCATATATTCTTTTATGGAGTAAAACTGAATTATTTAACAATTAACAGATCAGTAAAAATGAAATTTAATACCTTTATTGCGTTCTTTGAATTTTTGATAATACTATTATAAATTAAAAAAAAAGATGAAAATATATCTAAAATATGAAAAAAGTGGATCATGCTCGTAACTAGGGGTGTCAATATTTGACACGACACGAAAACCCGACCTGGACCCGACCCGAAAAATTCGGGTTGGACCCGACCCGATTTCAAAACGGGTCGGGTTTGGGTTCCAGAAATCGACCCGTTTGAAAAACGGGTCGGGTTCGGGTTGACCCGACAGGTTGCCGGGTCAACCCGTTTGACCCGAAACAAATTTTTTAAAAATATATTTTTGAAATAAATGTAAATATATAAAATGATTTTAAAATTCAGAATCTTCTAACTAAAAAAATTTAGTGTAACGTTAGTGCAGACCGCCGATTCCCGTTTCCCATACGCCAAGTTAGGTTATCAACTATGACCGAATAATGTATGAATCCCACGTTTCCCGTAAGCTGAATTAGCTTATCAACCATGACGTTTCCCATACGCCACGTCATCAGCCAGCAAGGCCCGCCAACTGGCGACGCTCTTCGCATGTTCCACGCCTCTGCTTAGGTCAATTGTGAAATAATAAAAAAAAGACAGCTTTGTCCATCTTAAATTTTTTATTTTTTGGGTAAGGCACTTCTTAATTTAAAAAATATGTATAAATTGAGACATTTTTTTTATTAAATTATATAAATTATAAAAGAATAATCATTTAAATTGAAGCTAAACTATTTTGTCCTCTCTCACTTAGAGGTATAGAGCAACTTGTTTAAAATCTTAATTCAATTATTATTGTTGCGGGCAAGAATATACGCGACATAGAGTTAGAAAATTTTTCGTCTCGGTGATGTACGAATATCCAATACACAAAAAGAAGATGAAAAAACACCATTATTTTTATGTGGAAAATCTTATAAAGAGAAAAACTACGGGGCCACGCCCAGTTGATAAGCTTTCATTAGCGTTTGCTTAAGTTATAACTGACTGAATTTTCCCTAAAATTGAGTACGATCCGATTACAACTTTTGAGTTGAAATTCAGTTACAAACAGATATTGAAACTAATTTCTCTACAACGATTTTACAAAGCAATTATAAAATTGTCCCAAACAAAGCCTTAACTTATTGCTTCGAGCCTTCGCTCGTTCAAATTCGACTAACCTAGCTTGAATTTAAGATACTTTGATGTAAAATATATTAAGATGGGCTTCAAAGGTTAGAATTAATGTTGTTTAGGATATCTTATACTTCACTAATTTCAATGTAAATTTAAGAATTTTAAAGCTCATTATAATATGTTTTGTATTAAAATATTCTAACATAATTTATTTTCTAATAAGATGAATTCAAGATGCTGATAAATAAATCTTTAGCTCAGTCTGATGAACTGATAAGTCATATTTGATCCAACTCAGACTCTTCGACCCATTGGTTAACTATTTTTTTTCTAAAAAAAAAATACAAATATTAATGGTAGAGAGATTAATTATTTTAAAAATATTAATTAAAAACATTAATTCTCATCTTTCTCTACCAAACTTCTCATTCTTTTTTTATATAATTTTATTTTTTGAATTTATCTTAACATAAATTTTCCCAAATAAAAATTTATCTTAACATTCTTTCTTAATTTATTGACTTTAGATTGAATTAAAGTTTGATTAGTTAATCAAATTTAAGATTAAGTTGAACTAATTTGAGCTTGAGTAAGTTTATTTTAAAATAAAAATAATTTTATTAGTTTTTAATATAATATGCTTATTTTAAAATAAAAATAATTTAATTAGTTTTTAATATAATATGCTTATTTTAAAATTTATTTTAATGAAAATTTGATTAAATATCATGATTTTTTTTCCAGTTTTTAAAATTTAATTCTTTAAAGTTGATCAGATAAATGAATTTCTTAAAGATCCAAATCCCTAGGAGCTGTATGGGGTCCACACCCAAGTGGCGCCTTGTCTTATATAAAAAAATAATTAATTGCCAAAAATTATGGCCATGGTGGATCTATGGTCCATGCATGCTCAAGTATCCCATCATGCCATCATATGGCACATACCATGCCATCCCCTCCCTTCCATCATCGCCTCCTTAACCAAATATAAACCGATGGCTCTCCACCGAAGAAACTGCAGAGAGAGAGAGAGAGAGAGAGAGAGAGAGACGGAACGATGAGGAAAGAGAAAGCAATGGAGGAGCCAAAGGTTCTTCTCGGGGGAGCGGAGAAGGCGGAATGGCCGCAAAGAAGGCGGAAGAAGGGAGCCGCCGCCGTGAAGCTGGAGGGCTATGTCGACGAAGGAGAGTCTCCGGTAGCCGGAGAAGATGGGGGGACAACGGTGGGGAGAACGAAGAGCTTGACCGACGAGGACCTTGAAGAACTCAAGGGATGCCTCGACCTAGGCTTCGGCTTCAGCTACGAGGAGATCCCCGAGCTCTGCGGCACGCTGCCTGCGCTCGAGCTCTGCTATTCCATGAGCCAGAGATTCCTCGACGAGCAGCAGCAACAACGATCCGCTGCGGGGTATAACGCCGTCAGTGCCATCTCGCCGGTTCGAGTTGCTAATTGGAAGATCTCCAATCCTGGTAAGATGGGTTCTCGTTTGAAGTTGAGTTCATGTTTTTGATTTGGCAGTTTAAATTAATACATATACATGAAATTGATGGTTGAAGCATGTATAAAATTTCCTCAATTTTTCTCTGGTTTTATGATTATGTATGGATTTTCATGTTGGATGATGTATTGATTTTATGCCTTCTTTGTGTTTGTTGATATGCGGATGAGAAACATGTTTTTTTCTTTAGTAATAATAATAATTATTTAAATTAGTGTAGTTGGATTTTATATGATAAATGAATCTTTTGCTTATTCTTTTATTTTCTTTCTTTTGTTAGCATAGATGAGAGCTTGTTTGATTAATGGCTTAAGTAAAGGAATGATTTTGTTGTGGTTGTTTGCGGTGTTCACCGGACCACTTTAGGGTTTTACTAATATAGTTAGAAAATGAATCTTCTGAGGTATGTTAAGGGGCTGTTCGGCTTAGATTTGAATGAAATTCAAGTAGGATTTATTAAAGGAAAAAACTTGCCCCAAGATATGATTTAGTTTTAGTATATCTTAAGATTTGATCAAAATCTAAAAATTTCTGGCATGATTACTGTTAAATCTTGCTAAATCTTATAGTCTTTGGCTATTTATTCCAGTATTTAAAGTTCATAGAGGAAGAAACTCTTAAATCCCTTAACTCTTGTCAAGGTGTGAGATTTTTAACTTATTGATTTAAACAGTAACGGGTGAAACTGAATTTATCAAAATCAGAAGTAAAAAAGAAATAGTTGGCATGATTTGAAAATCATGCTTAAATCATGTCTAGATTGGTATACCAAAGAGCCCCTAAACCCTAAATATCACAGTTACCTAGAAGTTATCAACACCAAAAGAAGAACAAAAAAAAAAAGAAGAGAATTAGGCTTCGTTTGGGACGGCTTTCTTACTGTTTTTAAAGTCTTCGTTTGGGACGAATTTTTTACTGTTTTTAAAGTAACTTTTTAGTATAAAAATTAAAAGTTTTATACTAGAAAGCTGCTTTAAAAAGCAATAAAAAAAGCCGTCCCAAACGAAACCTAAGACACTATTGGGCTTCTTAGGCACTATCAGTAGACACTTCTCCTTTTCTAGTACTATTCTTAATTCCTGAATTTTGAGTTTTAAGCACGCTTAGGTCTTTTTTTAACTTTGCTATGTTCTAGTTCAAAGCATGTTCTTTCTGTTAAAATCTTCTATCTCCTTGTCTTAGGGGACCATCCTGACGAAGTTAAAGCACGTCTCAAGTATTGGGCACAAGCAGTGGCATGCACAGTCAAATTATGCAGCTAAAAAGGTTTCCTTCTCAAACCAGCCATGGAGCTGCAGAGGCTTTCATCCTTCGGAGTTTGGAACAAGAACTTGTGCCTTCCAAATCTTACAGCCATTGAAAGCTAAGATCCTTCAAATATGAAATTGTCTTCTTACAATTTGCTGATGGAAATTAAGGGAGGCATTTAGGAGGAATTGGTATGATGTCTTAGCTGAACAAATACGCAGAGATGTTCACAATGCATGTTATTAGCATATTACTTCTGTACATATTCATCATGGCTAATTGTATGATTGTTTTATTTTCTAAGGGATTCTAATGAAAATAATTTTTTTTTTGATAATTCCGTTTGAATTTTGATTTGATGCTCTTTGATGTTCTTAAGATGGTGGTGAGACCTGCAATGCTTTATGGTGTAGAATTTTGGTCATTAAAAGAGAAGCATAATACTAAGTTAAGTGTTGCAGAGATGAGGATGCTCAGGTGGATGAGTGGATTTACTTTTAGAGATGGGATATGAAATGAGCATATACGTGAAAAGGTTGGAGTAGCTCCAGTGGAAGATAAGATTAGAGAGAGTTGTCTTAGATGATTTGGTCACATAAATCGTCGGCCTTCGTCCAATGATCCGGTTAGGAAAGTAGAGGTATTAGATTTGACTTATATTAATAAAGGTAGAGGTAGACCTAAAAAGACTTGGTTAAAAAATATTAGAAATTGTCTTTTTTTATTAGATTTAAACGAGAATTTGCCCTATTAACAGGAAACAATGGAGAAAAAGGATTTATGTAGTCGACTTCATGTAGTGGGACAAAGGCTTGATGTTGTTGTTGTTGCTCTTTGATGTTCTTTCTCCTGATCAAATTAATCACAACAGGTGTTCAGATCTGTAGGTTACTTTTTCTATAATCCCATGACCTGACTAGGTTGTAAATGTTAGATTTTTAGTCCCTTTGTCTATCTAATATTCTCATGAATTAGAAGAGTCAATAGATGTGTGCCTATCAGGGGATCTGTAATTAAGGTTTATTGAGTTTAGTTATATATATGGTGGGATAATTATTTAATTAAATTTGTTTTTCATTAATTATGAATATTTTCATATTATTTCTCAAAATTAACATAAATTACTTAATATTATTCTAATATTTTATGAACATTATGATTATATTTTTTATTTAATATTTATATTTTTGTAACACTTGTAGTGATATAAATACTTTTAAGTGCATAGTATTTAAAAACATTAATATGATAGCATATAATAATTCATCAAATAAACAATTTATTCATCATTAAATGGCTAATTTTATTAATTTATTATGGAGTTATTAGTTAAACAACAAATAAACATATTCATAAATATAAATAATAAAATAATTAAATATTTAAATTTGTCAATTTACATGTTGAGATTTAAATTTTTTTACTTATACTTATTCACTTATATAAATAAACGAACATAAAAAAATTAAAAAAATTAAAAATATACATTGAATTATTCATTGAGTTCACTTCTTAGCATACTGCTCTATTAATAAGCATTAAGCTTAAAAAAGATGTCTTACGTTTTATATGGGTCAGCTTTCTTACTGCTTTTTAAAGTTATTTTTTAGTACAAAAATTTTCAATTCAAAAAATTTTTGTATAAAAATGTTGCTTTAGAAAACAGTAAGAAAATTGTCCTAAACGAAGCCTTAATTAGTTCATAAGAGGAGTTTTTCATTAGATTTAGGCTTCGTTTAATTTTTTACTAGAAAGTTTCTATAATAAGTAATAAGAAAGTCGTTCCAAACAAAGCTGTAAAATGTATTTTGAGCCAACAATCAAACTTAATAGTAATTAAATTGGCATAATGAATGTTAATTGATCAGCTTGATTATTTTTTTATTTGTTGATATGAAAGTTAGCGCTCTATTCAGTCAAGTTTGGCAGCCTTAAATAAGTCTTACAAGCATTAATTAAGATTTTAATAATTAATCTTGATTTTAGCTTGTTGCTTTGATATTTATGATTAATGTTGATTTTTGTTGCCTCTCTTTGACATTTTCTATTCTCTTGCATTGAAGATGATTTTAACAACTCTAGCTGTTTGACATTTGCCTTTATTTTTGAACTTTGAGGTTCAAAATATCTATTTTTTTAATTTATTTTCTTAGAAATTTTCTTCTATATTCATTTTCTTATTTATTAGTTACCCCTTCAAGCGGTTGAAATAGTCCATATCCCAAATAAGGGGTGTGAATTAAGGATTCATTTGGGACAACTTTCTAACTGCTTCTTAAAATAACTTTTTAGTAGAAAAATTTTAATTTTTTACTAAAAAATTACTTTAAAAAGCAGCAAAAAAGCCGTCCCAAACGAAGCCTAAATGATTAGGATCCAGTAGGTGACTAAAGGTGGGTCAGGAAATCCTCTTGAATTGAGGGGTGTGAATTAGACAAACTAGAGTGTGAGAAATATGAAGAAATTGGGATAATCTTCCACTAAATGGATGGGGTAGATTGAAAGAGACTTGGAGTTTTAGGTAAAGGGTGGATCTGTCAACATAACAACCACAAATTAGAAATTCAACTAGAGTTCTCTAGAATGCTCTTTGATTTTAAAGTTCAAAATATAATAGCACGAGGATAATTGTGATATATATATTATGAAGGGTATTTTATTCATAAGTTTTATTTAAATATTTTCTATTTTTATTAACAATGATGTACCATTTTGCGCCCCTTTCCTAATCAAGAAGTAATCAGACAATCCTGCCATAAGATTGATCTGATCAATTAACTTTGACTATGGTCGATGGTGGGGGTGCAGTGATAATCATAATTAGTGAAGTACTCGACCAATGAAAATGTACACTATACTACAAATAATGATGTCATGATTCATTGGATTTGAAAAATAAAAAATTGAAGATTAAATTGATGGGAAATTAAATTTTAAATAAAGTTCATATATCAAATTTAGGATTGCTATGAAATGATGGCAATAAGTCACCATTTTTTACCGAAATGTTTATCACTTCGAGAGTAATCATTTACAAAAAATCGGTTTGTAAAACAAAGGTTTGAAGATAGATGCTCGCACCCATACCTTAACATTGAACAAGAAAATGCTACAATGATCCAAACTAGACAAATAGCTCTCAAGTAGTGAAGAATTATAGTTAGGCAAGTCAAAAATATCAATAGTAAGCAAGAACCCCAAAGTAGATACTACTAATGAATGATGCACATTCTCAAAAACTTAGAGGTAAGAACTATGATAAAAGGCTTCCCTAAAAAGCTATCATTCATGTAAAATAACCTCCTATAAGGACCTACCAAATTGATGCACTAGGCTTGGACTATAAATTTGATTTTCAACAGAATAGTAGAATTCTTGTAAGAGCAATTTTTACAATTCCTCTCATTTCTTTCTCTCCAAATATAGTAAATAGTACAACAGATATTAAATAAATAGAAATATTTGATGGTTCGAGAAGAAACAACCAGATCATTTATGTGCCTCAAAAGTTGAATAAGATTAGGCTTGAGTAGAAAGGAGAAGGCCCACACAAATCTTTGAAGTAGAATGTTAAAGGTAATGGGGCATTAAAAAAAAGAGAGAATTTTAATTTCTTAGTTATTAAGATAGAGACAAAAGTTATGGCTCACCATAATATTTTTTAGCATAAGTTCATCAATAGTTTTCAGACCATCCATCTTTTAGAGCCAAGTAAAATATGAGTATGTCATATAGAAACCTTTGTGCCAAATAAGGTTGTGCCAATTTGCCTTGATGATATACTCATAGAAAGAGGCCATAAAATCTTTAAATTTAGGCTTAGATTATTATCCAAAAAACAAAAAAGGTATGAAAGTTTTATTTGCATAAGGGAAGAACTTTGATAAGGTTTGTAGTGCAAAACCATTAGTGTACCATGAGAAGTAGTTGATGAGAGTGCTGAGAGGGGAGTTTGTGGATGGTGTGCTAAATATTAAGTAAAATTCCACCAATATGTTATTCCAAAGTTTTTTTATTTTTAATTTCCTAATTAAGGGATATCAATGTCTCTAATCCAATAAGCATGGAGATTCTAAATTGATAATTTAACAAGTTGATATCTACTAATAAAAGGGAAAAATGCAATTTATAATACTTTCTTTGCATAAAAAAATGGACTTGATTAGATCCCAATACCTATAATCGCCTTTCTATGAAAGATTGCACAGCATGGTGCTCCAAAGCTACTACCTTTGAAGCTGAAATATGAGATTGGAGTAAAGCCTAAGCTTAGAGTCATCGTACCTCTTTTGTCTTGGAGAATGTAATGCTCATGCTAGATTTGTTTTAAATGTTAGGATAGTTGAATCAAATATGTTTGCCACTCTAAGACATGACAAATACACTAAAATAACAAAGCAAATGATGTTAATTTTTTGCACAACCTTGTTCGCCCTCAAGAGAATTTTCTAACACTCAAGTTAATTATATGAGTTATAAAATGTATATATATTCTCGCTCTACCAAGATGAAAGTCTCTCTTAAAATTCATCTATTTTGGTTCTTACCTTATATCATAACAAAATTGAGCTAAAGTATCTTCACCAAAGAAAGAAAATGCTGATTTGAAGACTTATTTATAACCAGAGTGAATATTTTGGCATATAAAAAATATGATTCTGAAAGGTGTATTCCAAAGCTACACTAGTTTCATCTTCACTGAAAGCGTGGGCTACAACAATGCCACAATTATTAAAGTGGCTAAAAATTGTTCATTGAAGGTTGAAGATTAGCGTGGGCTAAGCCAACATACCACTTCTTCTATTGGAAGAAAAGATCAAGTTAAAATGAATGTATTTCTAGTCTTCTTTAGAAGCCTAATGGGAAGAAGACCTGTATCCCACAATGGAGAGGTTTTTGGTGGAGGTCAAATCCATACTATTGCATATATTTCTTCAAAGTGAATAGATGACAGTGAAGGGAAGGTGTGAGTTTTATAGATCCTTTTTCTAGCAATAGTGCTTAAGGATTCTCTAATATCATGAAGAGAGAATAAATGATTTGAATTCTTTGTGTATTTCATTGAGAACCTTACAGTCCTATTTATAAACAAAATTCTTTTGTAGCAAATTTCTACATGCAAAAACTATTAATTACACATTGGTTTTATTACAATATTCCTATGATAGAATATAAAAGTAATCAACCATGTTTCTACATGCACGTATCTATTAAAATAAATGGAAACATTTTACAACTTGTAAGCATTTACCTCATCTTTCATGATTCCAAATAGCTCGTTCAATACTTGATAAATCATTTCAGCTTTCGGATGTGACTCATTGCTTGCATGAAAGG